ATACTGTTCTCATCAAATTGCCGTCAAAATTTTTCCAATTTCAATATTCCGATTCTAAACTGAGAGCTTCTATGGTCTAGGCAATACTAGGAGTAGAAATTTTATTCAGCTAATTTCTATATATTTGCCTTCTTCAGAGCCAATACTTCAAGTCCATTGTTCATTGCCGCTTGTCCTCGTTATGGAACATCGTCATTGCTGTCGTTTGCCTTGAATAAAGAACTTCACTCACCAAGTCTATATAGAGAATTTAACAACAAATAAACTTTAGTTCAAGAAAATGAACTATTGTGACACGTGTGAGGCACATATGATTCATAACATCACTTTCTTATTTCTTTTCTCTACTCCATGTTTTTACATTCAATCAGATCTTAAGGCATTTGTTCAATAGTTCTACTAATTCTGCCCTCTTACTTTTGTTCAAGACTCTGACTTGTAAAAGACCTTCAAGGAATTAAGTAATTGCTTGTGTATTTGGAAACAATGACAATAGATATTGTAAATGTTATTAAGCAGTTTTTGGTGAATTCGACCTACATTCAGTTCTAACCAAATTCACTGCTGTCCCTGGTATCTTTTAAGAGGTCCAGTTTTTTAAAGTTCTACACTCTAAATTCTGCCACTTGGATAAGATCTGACTCGAAGAAATTTTAAATTTTCTAAGTCATTATAGATATACTTGAAAACATTAGCGGAGCATGTATCAACTCCGATGGATGAAATGACAAAATCACCCAAAAAAATTTCGTTATCAGTCGAAAATGGCTCCATTCTGACTAGGGCAAGTGCTTCTTTTGTGAATTACGTTCGCAACGTCTCTTTAGAATACTTCCTAACGTAAAGCTTCTATGGTCATCGTCGTCATTTAGCTCTCAAAAAAAAACTTCCTATTACAGCACATTTTAGAATTTCAGTAAGGTCATGAAAATGTATTTGTTGCAAACTATCCTTGTTGAGATAACGCGACGGTTTACCACTGTTCCTGAGTTACGATCACTGAGCTACCGGCGATTTTTGCAATCGTCAGAGCCTAGTCCCCATCCATATTAAATTGTTCTGTCAATATCCTCAAAGTCTAAATTGATACTCGGTACATGAAGAGCCCGTCTTCAGTAATTGTGCGGGCCTCAGCACATATTCCATTCGTCTCTCTGCTGCGCGACTGTCGTCCATGACGGCATGGCGGCTGCTGTGGTCATACCGTGACCTAAAAGAATTGAGAGCTGCGAGTACAGATCCTCAATTCCTTTAACGAACACGTCCGCCCAATGTTTAGGTGGTCGTCTTCGAGGACGCGTACATTGTCGTGTAATCCAATCTACAGTTCTCCTCGCCCATCTGTCGTCCGCTCTTCTTAAGATATGACCGGCCCATCCGTGTTTCGCTATAGATGTATAGACCTCTGGGTGACGAAGATGGGATAGATTCCAAAGGTATGAGTACGCATGACGGCCACATGTTGTGTGCGCCGACTGAATTTGAGAAGACATCGTTCAAGCGCTCTGTGAGTTATTCGTAGCAGTCTTGACGTGGTGGAAGTATCAGCCACGTCTCAGCTGCATAGCAGAAAGCCGGGAGAACCACTGAATCGAAAAGGTGAACACGGAGCTTTGGGTCCGTTAGGTGGTCGGTGGCTTCTTTGAGAGGCCCGAATGCGGCCCATACTGCTTTCCTTCTTCTGCCTAGTTCCTCCTTCATGTTGCTTACCATGTTCAGTGAACTCCCAAGGACACATACAAGGTGATTTCTGCAATCAGCGAAAATTCTATACTCTAAGTCTAATGAAAACCTAATTCATAAACTAAAACAAGAAAATCTGTCTATTGAGAAGAAGCAACCGTTTTCTTTGCTGGTATGACCACTCGTTTAGGGCATTTAAAGATCTTTCAAATCTAGGATTTTTGATAGCTAACAGTTGTTTACTCTATTTCTGCCCAGTTCATTTTAATAACATGTTATGATGTGAAATATAGTCAAAAGAGTGCTGGCACAGGTAAATTTTCTAAACTAATGTGACTTTGAACCCGCGATCAACCCGTTCTGAGGTTTCACTAGGTTTTCATTGCACCATTAATGCCTTCATTTCGGTTCTCTCCGAGGCGTAGGCTTGACTAACCTTTATGCCGATTCGTGGGTGCTAGATCAATTCGTTCACGGATCATTGCTGACACTCACCGAATAGGTAAGAACACGGCTGAAACAAAGAGTAGTGCACGGGGCCTCAATGGTTCAGTGGAAAACTTAATGAGCCCTCCGAAAGGGTCGAGGATTCGAAGCGAAGCCACATCAGGCTTCACATTTTGCTCGTATAGAAAAATTCACGTCCATCGATACCTCTTTTGTATGTGTAAGTGCATATCATCTCGTTTTGCCTCTTCCAGCTTCCCAATCGCTTGGGTGGACTTTGTTAAAAGCAAATCTGACTAACTAAAGAGAAGGAAACCGCTTGTCGAATTGAGTTACTTATCAAAAAGTGCATAGTCTTTTTCACTTCTCGTTTCCACTTCTTACAAAAGCCCTATCCATTTTTTTATACCGGAGAGATACTTGTGTGGCAATAATAATCACTTGCCACTTGTCTTTAACACAAATGAGATGATGGATGACTGGCACTTGAAATCACAACAACACTACAATGTAAAATTTTTTATTATAGGGCTATTGATAAAAAATGCATAACAAATCATTGTTCGTTTACGTAAGCAGAATATAATGTCAATCATAAAAATTTGAATAGTTTACTTGAGAACTGAGAGTTCGATACAGCCTTATTTTAACTAGCTAATCCGTAGTCAATGACGGTGGCCTCCCTCAGTTCTCTAACCACACTGATGTTTAGCATTGACTTCCTCACTGATTCGTTCCCCCTAACTGTAGCCACTATGCTTTCTTCTTGTATAGTCAACATCACAACACGACATTCTTCTTTGGAATACATGAAATGTCGTAAGGTTGCAAAACACTCAAAGCGAAGTGTAGGCTACTCTAAACGAATAAATTATAAACTTCCAATTAACTGAATTTATCGGGATAATAAGATTGTGAAAAAACCCTATTTTATAACTGGAATTTGTAGGTTCTCGACATGCACAGTAATTATCATTGCTTGAGTAAAAAGAACTAGTATCAGTTGCCTCTTTCAGCTTACAGACAGTTGTTTTTCTTTATATACTTCAGAATTTGGACACTCCGGTTTTTTGATGATTTTTCTCAAGCAAGTCACTGATAAGAAAGTGCATTTTTGACAGGGTAAGCAAATATCTCGACCAGAGGTAGAGATGTGCTAAATATTTTTTAGATCATGTCTACAACATTGATTAGGCTGACATGGTCGTTGGATCATTTTGCATTGACAAAACATGGTTAGCACTCACCGATCACAGTAATCTACGTCGTTTCCGTTACTTGTGTACATAAGATATCGTGCGGTTTGACACATAACGTCATAATAGTCGGTGGACGCAATACTCTTAGCATTTTAGCACTTTATTTGATCCGTCATCACAGTTTTTTTTTTGCTGTGCGGATCCCAATACTTCTAGCATTCACTTCGTTTTAAGTCTTCTTGAGCGGTTCAGAATACTGGCCGAGCGAGTCTTCCTGCAATCTCGACGATAGCCTTGATGTGACCTTCTACACGGCATTCGTTGCTGACTTCCGGAGAGAGATGGGGAGGGTGGGAAGGGGTGGAGCTGGGTTCCACGCGCACTGCGACGAGCATCACATACGCTCGGCCACGGCATCCTTGGACACAATATACTCAATGTAGGAATAGTGGCCGCTCTCGCCTTCCAGTTAACCTTTCCCATTCTATCAAGATAATAAACACAGCTGAGAATAAGGAAGATCGAGGGCTTTGATGATGGAGTGCGAACGCGGGCTCCCGGAAAGAGGGGTCGTAGTTAGAGTCTATTCCACATGCATGGGGTTTTAAATTTTGCTCGTGGCTCAGCATTCTTGTGGCTGTATTTCACCCCGCGCCATGTCGTTAATCAACTAGGCGGCAAGTGAAGTTGACGTTGTCTTTCCAAACAATGGTTTTTCAGATGAAAAACCGCGACAGACTCAATATATTTTTGGCGAAATGATGCAAATTACTCGATCCACAAAAGTTCTTTCCCTATAATTAGAAGTTATGGGAGTTCGTCCTTTTGCCGAAGATCTAATATTTCAATTACAAAGGAAATTGAACAAGTAAATATTCTTGCCGTTCAGAGTTACCGTTGTTGCTTTAGTGAATCCAAATATACAAATTTTTTCCACCGTAGACAATTTCGATTGCGAACGTATTCAGAATTAATGAGTACTTCATAACAATCATTTATATGACAGTTATATGGAGCAAAGTTTATTCTATAATTTTTATGTTTTTAACTTTACAAGTACTTTTGTGGTCGAAAAATCATGAATTGTCGAAAAACCAGTTTTAAACGTTGTGTGTCGAAGATACTACAAAGGCTACACTACGCAAGAATATGAATCCTACTCTAACCGATTGATTGAGGTACGAAAAAAGTCGCACATAGTTTTGTAACAACAATATTTCTAAAATGCTCCAGTTTCGCCTATTTGTTCTATTTCGATTCTTTTTTCGTTGAATTTCGCGAGGCACTGGAGAACTTCATGCAGTCGTTATAATTATGTTTCGACGTGGACCGAAATTACTCGCCATTTTCCGTTATCACTCGTCGAAATCGATTGTGCGTCTCGAGCACTTATAGTAATTCGAAATTGGCGATGTTATTGTACCTGACATTTTGGCTCCTTATCTGTTCTTTACTTCATCGTTCCTCTTCGATTTTGCATCTTGTATCATTCATAACTTATTCGATCATCGAGTAACTAGAGCCATCATCGCTTGATACATCATTCACCTTCACCACAGGCCAGACTTACTCTTTAGGTTCCTCACACTAGGACAAAATGAAAGCCCTCAGATTTTTCGTGTGAAGCCGTTATACCTATACCTAGAAGAATTGAGTGATGAGCAAAAATACAGCCTCAGACGGGAGTCGAACCCACGCTTCATCCATACCGGGGGCGCATGCTACTACCACTACACCACCGAGGTACATTCGCTCCACCACTCATTCTTCAATATATCTATGATAACTATCGGCCACCAACCTTTGACAGGTTCGGTCGGGTATGCGATTTTGCTTCATAAACTCACTTCATCTCACAGTCATCGTTAGATGTGATAATCCAAAACTCCATTATTTTTGCTGCTTTTTTCGCAGTGTTATGATGCTACATATATACCTAAGAGAAATAAGTGATGAGCAAGAATGTGATTATGGCAGTATTTTTGCTTAACACTCAGTTCTCTTAGGTATTGTAAATGTAACGGCATAACACTGCTAAAAAAATCAGCAAAAATACAGTAGTTCTGAGAGCTGTTTATTCTTATTTTTGATAAGGAGACTATCAACTGCTTGGGTTCAATTACAGTACTCGTAGTCTACTTTTTTCTGGCCTTTTCCTGTCATAAATTTAAACTTTTCCTCAGCAAACTGCTATACATTTTCTATGAGATTTCAAGCCTTGCCTTCTTAGCACTCCTAATGTGACATGTATTTTTCTTGCGAAGAGATCTCCTTCACTATGATTTCGTATGTGTGGTGATTTTTTTTTGATATTTTAAAAACATTATATTTTTTACTACTTTGGATTACTTCGGATTCTTTCCAAAATTATCTCATTGCGTATGAAACTTTTGGTTGATAGCTGTTTGAATTTGCGCATTACAGAAATTAACAGTGGGATTTATAGGATAAAATCACTTTCTAACAAGTTATCCTTGTTGAACCTTACCTTTCCTAAACGAGGCAAGTTGTTGCTTTCACAAACTCCTAAAAAATTTGACCATCGCATTTTATATGCCCTTAAGTTTTTTTTCCTCAAGTAGTCCAGTATTTCGTACAACTTCTTTTTCATCTGTCACAACTCATGAAATATTTTGTGGTCTCAAGAAATCAATAGAGTTTATGTGGCGCTGTGGTGAGAGATGCACTGTGTCGCACACGAGGTCAGTGGTTCGACCTCGCTCTCGTAAGTCACCAAGTCATCCACCTTTCCGGGGTCGGTAAATTGATACCAGACAGGTCTCCGACTTGTCTGTAAGGATAAACAGCACTGACTTGGTACTGCGGGACGCCATCGCTAGTCATTGTAAAGGCCACATATGCATTCAATCACCTCAAGATGTTTAGAAATTGAAGACGAATGCATGGCGCACCCCTCAGGGATTGATCAACGCCGAGAGCTTTATCCTTTATCCTCATAAAAATTCAGTGCCGCTAGCTGAGTGCCAAGTTCTCTGTAAAGCGTTTACATAACTCTATAGTTTTGATTAATGTATTATAACCCAGTATTTCAGCAGAAATTGGAGAAAGATTGCCATATTATCGAAAACAAATTCGTGAGTTCTCGTAAAAATCCGTTTACCTACTAATGTGATTCTCTTGACATCTGAGTGGTTATGATCCACGACAGATCTAAGTACAAAGTTTGACCGCTTCGCTTATGATAACGTTTCTCGTTTACTCGGTTTAAACCCATCTTGAACTCGAACATGTTATAAAGCTAAAAAATTGACAGGCAAAAAACAACTGTATTTCACTGATCATTTTGCTGTCCGCTGTTGTAGAAGTTTCAGCCCATTCCATCGGCTCATCACTCACCCAGTTGTCATTGATATGCGGCTGAGTGCAATGAAAAAAATATTGTTAAATGAAGCATCGCTTTTCTGTATCAGTCGAAAACACATGAATATATATTTTTCTTTGAAGGATAGGACTGATACGCTTTTAGTATCTCATTGCCGACGGTATTAATTTTGTGATTTTGCATGAATTTCTTACTCAACTGGTGTACAGAAACGTGTGACGTGTGGTTGCAGTTTTTGCAAAGCGCTTGTAGTTTACATCACTTCCTCGCCCCATCTTCATTAAGCTTTGTATCCCTCTAAGGTCAGGAATTTCATTTCGCCTATCTGAGAGAAGGAAAACTCTGAATCGATACGTTGGTAGGCCACCACAAGTAATTGTACAGTCAGATATGCATTCAATAATTTCCTCTACGAAGCTTGATGGAATGGGATGCATGGCTTATCGCCAGGGATTTATGAAAGCCAAGCACTTTATTCTTGTCCTTTTTTTACTACCCGGGTGATGGACATTGGAGTCAATAGCTCAAAACACATCTTTAAGGAAGTGAGCAGGGTGAAGTGCTTTTGATGATCCCTGTTGATGTCTTGTTAGTAATTTTCAATGTTCCTTATGAACTCCTATCCATCTCCGTGATCGAGCGCCTGTCTTGTTGTTTCGACCAGTCTAACGTGGGCGAACAATGATCGCTTTAGTTGGAAATTTAACTTTCATTTTATTTCCCCCGTTGTAAATCATGTTGGTGTTATTCTAAATCACTTTATTCGATTATCAAGTCATTGAACCGGTTTCGGTCGTACAGCAGTCATTCTGAAAGAGATGAAGACCATTAATGTTGCACTCCGATCTGTGACAGGATTACTTTTTTTTCAAGAAGCAAAATTTTACGTCAATTACCTGAAAGACAACGAACTTAAATCTAACGGTCATCTCTCATGTACTTACTATAACTTGATGCAAGATTATGCAAGATTCGTTGTATCGACATGCAAGGCAAGGGCTAGAGGAAAAGGCGCTCGATTCATTGCAAAAGGATAAATCATTTTTCAGACTACTATAGGTATCGCAAAATGAACATAATTTCTTTTTTGTCATGGCTTGAAGAGCTTGAGATGTGCTAAATTCTCTCAAATAAGTCCTCAATCGGCATGCTAATTTATGATGGAGGGCTGATTATATATCGCTGATAGCCGGGCATCGAGCTAAGGACCGAGCCTGTGGTATTGGTGGTTGCTTTTTAACACCTTAAAAGAAACATCAGTGGTTCTAAATAATTCGATCAAATGAGATATGCATGAAGTTGCATTTTTGCTACAAAACAACTTCTGATGATTGGGTATAAACTTAACTATTAAGCTCACCGTTCGGTTTATTCCATTTTGGTCCCACCTCAAGCAAAAAACTGTTTTTATTGACTAACTTTGTCGCCACTTTGTTTTACTGAGAAGTCACCACGAGATGGATCTACCAACATCCTGTTAAGGAAGAAAAGTGAGACATCACTTCTGTGACGTAAAAGCTCTGCAACAACTAAGAACGATCACTCATTCTTTGTATGTTCAATCATTTTAATAACGATCATTGCACGCTGTTCTCTCACCCCATAGTCATCGGCGAGGTGTTGAAGAGCTTTGCAAAGTATTCGAAAATGATTTACTTGCCTTTCGACAACATTTTGTACTTAAATCATAATTTAGGAACATCGCGGAAGAAAAGTGACAGAAACTTGTGATATTCATGTGGGTGATCGATAATCAAATCGAATTACTGAGAGCTTGAACGTTAAGACCGTTATTAATCGAAATTCGATCAAATTGCGCGGAAAAATCCAGCACTCTGCCAGAATCGACCGAGCCCTAATCCACTTACGAACTTCTGGAATTGTTGGCGGCTGTCTAATAAGAAAACAGTTTGCACTAGAAAATAGGTTCGTATTAGAAGGTGACCCTGAAACGGCAGGAGCCCCATCTGTCATCAAGAAAGCGTGGAACTAGCGACAGCATGACTAGTCACTTCACTTTGTTGCACTGGGCTACTACTTAGGATGGACAAATAGTTGAATACATATGAAGCTCGTGCTCATTAACAGTAACACTCGCTGTAGTTCACTCTCTATCCAACTGGGATTTCGTCGAAAATGATTTCTTCAGCAAAAAATTCACAAGAGAAGTTCGGCGAAAAATTCACAAGAGAAGTTCATGCTGTTCAACTGCTCATCGCTGGTGCTCGCCGACGCTCGTTGATTAGAGCGATATTTTTTATTTTGTGATTGGGTTTCTTCGAACCTTTTTTCCCATTCATTACTTGCTTGAGACTTCGCCTTTGTCATGAGCGTCGTTTAATAGTGGTCGGACTAATCTCTTTGCAGTCTATAGGTTAACTAGATTGAATCATTCGTTGGTTCCTTGCCAGAAAGTGTTGCAGAGCCGACCCCGCACCGGCCTGCCGGGCAGTGGTAAATCAACTCCACAGCGAGCATACTAGTCACTCGGCCACCACCTCCCTCTGTCTCAGCTCTATTTACTTCTAACTGTATTTCGAGTGGAATTTCTGAGTGCATTTGAAGTCTGCTCAGGTGTCAGGTATTGAACCCTCCGTCAAGAGACGATGATTCACTCGGGCGCAGGCACTGCGAGACCATTCGTGCGACCCGCAGATGGTGTTGTGACGATCCTCATGGATAACCTGCTAGATGATGGGAGTCGCCTCTACGCAGACACTGGTATACTTTTGGCATAAAGACGAGCGGAAAACCATGCATAGTCAAAGTGGTGTACTGGCACCTCAATGGATTAATTTAAGCGAAGAAGTGAGGATGGTTCTACAATGCACGACTCCGTCAGCAATCCTCACGCATGAGTTTTAGAAAGCGAAGATGTTGGGAGTTGTAAAAAGGAGGAATCAGTCATGGATTTGACCGAACAACTGATTACCTACTCTCCATACCTTCGGAAAACTTCTGAAAAATGCGTGCACTTTGCTGCTATTTCCTTATCAGTATGTACCTTCACAGTTTAAGTGCATACGTCTGTTCCCCCACCTTATCAGACACATATGTTTGCTTAACGTCTGGAGAATCTACAGAAACTACGCCTGTAAAATCGAACTCATCGAATTCAAGATGAGCGAGTACTGCAAGTACTTAGCAGACGACACTTCTCCTCAACCGGCTTCTAGTCGTGTTCTTGAAATGCACACCACGGCAACGTATAACACCATCGACTTATATAATGGGTTAGACAAGATACCATTTCGCCGAAATTGTTCACTGTCACCTTTGACAACGATGCGCGAGGATTGGAATGCGATTCAATGTTAGGTAGAATTAATGGCCTAGCAATTATACTATGTTCTCTTGTCTAATCACATTGTTCTCATAACACCAAGTATTAACCATTAACCA